ATTTGCTTTAATAATGAATAGTTTGTTAATTTTGTTGAATAAACATTTTAGTCAAAATGCAGCGCGGGTGTTTTATATTAATGTATCTCTAAAGGGAACTGCCTTCAGAAAAGTTTCGATGGCATTTTCATTTCATCTCTCATACTATATAATGTTTGATAAAGTAACGTTTATTAGCGCAGCACTGCTTCATGTACAGCCGTTACCGGGGAAACCGCATTATTTCTGCTGCTCCGAAAGTGCCGCCTGCTGGCAGAGAATGAATGTGCATTTTTCAATCAGCCCGTCTGCTGTTTTTGTTCAGAACCATGTGAAAATCGACCCGTGTTTTTACACCGCATAGACAGAGTTGTGAATGTGGATAGACAAAAAGCTAATGTGCCTTCAGAAATCTAAAAAATAGTAAGATGTGTGTGCTTTAAACTAAAATAATAGACTTTTGCTTTGGAGAGGGTGTAAGAACCCTGCTTAATCCATGAGATTGTATCTGTCAGAACATGTCAGCATCTCTAAGGCAGTTGTTTCTCTTTCAGCATGCATTAATTCTTTTACGGTTCTTTTACTGTAGGTCAAGCACCACCAGCCTTGCCTATACAGGCTCATAGCCAATGGTATTATGGACTTTTTTCACTAAAATAACCTTATTCAGCTTGTGGGATTAAAAATCCCATCATCTGCCAAAACAAAATTCTAACAAAATTAAAAAGTGATTATTGTTTGAATAACCGCTCAGTTAATATATTTAATCTGCATTTTTGGTGCATTTTGCCATGTAAGGTACGGAAAGAATGATAATTCAGTGCTTGAACAGCTAGGCTATTGCTAAAACTTGTAAATAATATAAAATTTTGTTAGTTAAATTTTATTGCAATTTTTAGCAGCAGCAATTTCATCGGTTTGCCTCCAAGGGATGCTTGTATTAATAAACCGAATAATCATCAAAGACATTTGATGCAGAGACTATTCTTTTATTGCCTATTAGATATATCAGTAAATTGTTGCCACAATGTATCTTTGTTACATTTGTCAGTTGCAACATTGTGGCAATGTTGTGGATCGATAGTTGTGTGTTGGTATTTTTTAAATGTATTTTTCAATGGACAGACATGCATTAATTTTTTGCACTTTTAATGTGATTCAGACTAAAATGGAAAAAATACAAAGCCCTTGAACGTGGAAAGTAATAGAACTTCAGTGTCTTAAAGGGATAGTTCACCCAAAAATGAAAATTTGATGTTTATCTGCTTACCCCCAGGGCATCCAAGATGTAGGTGACTTTGTTTCTTCAGTAGAACACAAACGAAGATTTTTAACACAAACCGTTGCAGTCTGTCAGTCTTATAATGGAAGTGAATGGGAATCACGGCTTTGAGAGTAAAAAAAAAACATACACAAACAAAACCAAATTAAACCCTGCGGCTCGTGACGATACATTGATGTGTAAAGACACTAAACGATCGGTCTGTGCAAGAAACTGAACAGTATTTATATCGTTTTTTTTACCTCTGATTTACTGCAATGTCCGAACTGTTCGAACTGTCCTGAGAGCGTTCTCAACAGCAGGCGCCTTCTTCTTCTTGCTTTACAGCGGATCGCAGATTTATAAGTGCATTACCGCCACCTATCTCTCAAATGTACCATTGACACTCTATCTACAATCTCAATTAGGAGTGTCAGTGGTCCATTTTAATGGTATTTACAGTATATATTTTATATAATAATTTAACATCCCTAAACACAATCACTTCTATTTTGCTGTTTTCGACACACGAATGTCACGAGATCTGAGATGTTGAACACTTGGATTTCCCCTTGCTTTCCACTTCACCTGTCTTTGACGCTAGTATTCATCTGTTATATTATTTCACAACCACATGTTTAGTCTATGATGCTCCCTCATTCGGGACGGGCTGATCTCGGCACAGTTCATCAGAGGCGCTCCTGATTCTTTGCACTGGATCTAAATTGGAGGGGCTGCTCCCCAGAAGCGTCTATAAATAATTGAATGAGAGCCTCCCACTCTTTCAGCGCAGCACTATTACCCTGCTCGGGGTTACTGTCGCATACCCACATCTCTGAGAGCACAGAAAAGCCCCTTTGTCTTTCTGCTCCCGTGTCCCGCGCCATAGCCATGGCAACATGGTCACTATGGAGTATTATGAGGTGGCTGGAGGGGGACGGGCGTCTCTTGTCAGAGCGCAGGCCTGTTCTTTCTCACTTTGGCCCTGGTACGACTCCAAGCCTCAAACTGCCTTCCCTGAAAGTCTTTATGTGGCCTGCCAAACTTTCTGTGCCACTCAATTCAGTAGAGTGCACAGCTCTGAGACTCCTTTGAATTTTCTGTTGCTTTATAAGAGATATTCAACTTCATCATCTTTTTCAGTTATATTTTTGGCAGATGCTGTTTGCACCCCTGTGTCTGTTACTATTTTGGGTGTTTGATTAGTCTATTCTTTTTAGATTATGGACTGAATGGTGAGCGTATTGGAAAGTTGTGCCACCTATTTTTATGAATTTGTCCTGTGGTTGAGAATTTTTTTGCTTACAACTTACTTACTTGCATACGAGTACAAACTTCCAATTTTCATTTTTTAAAGCAAGTTTTAAGGTCATTTTTTTCATGTTTTTTTTTAACAGTTTTACTATTTAATAAGTTAATTATTTTATATGTTTAAGAGTCGCACCATATGACATTTTTATGACAGCCTGGACTATGTCAATTTATCTGATATTTTAAAAGATTTTTTTATCGATTTTGACAGTCACCACGTGGAACACTTGACTTTGATTTAGAGGACAAACATTTCTCAAATATTTTTCATATTTTAACTGCTTCACTGCATGTTTTTCTTTAAAAACAAATAGCTAAACCATGTAAGATTTTAATTTCATAAAAATTCGTTTTTAATGAGTTTGTTTTTATTATTATAAAGTCAAGATGGTTGTTGAATTCATGCCCCAAAAAATATCAGAATGGATTAATTCAGAAATTAAAAATTCATATTCATAAAAACATTTATCATATAAAAGGTGTATTCAAGTTGTTGTATGTGCAATGAGAAGCATTTGTAACATCTGCGCAATATGAGAACAATGTATATTGTAAATGATTTACACACAAACAATTTTTTTAAATAATTATTATAATATAATATTATTGCATAATAAATATCATAATATTATATATGTTAGATATTATATATGATCATAATTATCAAATTCTTTGCAGCACATTATTTGCATTTTCTTAAATGCTGTTTTTGTTTAAACTAAATGTACCTGCCATGTAGAAAAATGACTTTGAGATGAAGAAAAAAACTATTAACCATATATAATGCATATATATTACCTAGTATATAATATAATATTATGGGCAACACATATTACCCCTCTAATCCCACATTCTTCCTACTAATCTACTAATTGCACCCCAACATGTACAGATATTACTTGAATGCCATGCTAAAGCTGACTGATTTTGACAGTACTACAGTACTTACAGTTAAGAAGATAATGGTCACCGAAATGCTACTTCTCCAGTATCATACATGTAGTGGCAGATAATGCTGTTAATATGAAACATTTATAGTGTACTACTTCACACAGTAGAAGGTTAATGACCAAGCTGTAACTAGTTGACCTAGAATCAGCTAATTAAATCTCAGTGCAAATAGTCACTCGTATTATTTATTATAAAACGTATAGTTCCGGTCCTTGATTCTGATTGGTTGAGCCAAGTTCGAAGCTGTTGTAAATTACTCTACAAACCCTTTTAAACTATTTTTTTTACAGTCTATGCTACAAACATACACCTTTTGTTTACGTCTGTGTGTTGCTCGGCAACCACTTTGTTGGAACCACAACCGTTTCTGAGGAACTACATTGTTTGGCGTTGTTACACTTTATTTGCTCTGTTTTATTTTGTGAAACCTTACTACGTATATGGAATAACCGTTTTATAAAGCAATAAGCCCCGTGAAGCCGTGGTTTACAGTGAATTTATAACCGCTAAGGGAGTTTTAGGCACTGCGCTTCGCGTCTTGTCTAACAACGCACCTTAGCTGTTAAAAATTCACTGTAAACCACGGCTTCACGGGGCTTATTGCTTTATTTTAATACATTTTTTAAAATTGCAATTATCTTGTTTTTGCTTAATTTCTTTATGTAACTTTTTCCACCATCTCACCATTTGTTAATGTGTCTTTAAGACTTCAATGTACACTACTCTTCACAAATTTTGGGTCAGTGAGGTATTTTTCTTCTTCTTTTTGAAAGAAACTAATAGTTTTATTCAGCAAGGACACATTAAATAGATCAAAATAGTAAATGCATTCATCAACGTTACAAATTATTTCTATTTCTAAATGATTTCTTTCTATTCATCAAATAATCCTGAAAAAATGTTTTCACGGTGTCCACAAAAATGTTAAGCAGCACAACTGTTTTCAGCGTTGATTATAATCAATGAAGACTGGAGTAATGATGCTGAAAATTCAGCTTTGCATCACAGGAATAAATTACATTTTTAAAATATAGTAAAATAGAAAACAGGTCATTTAAATTGTAATAATATTTCACAATATTACTGTTTTTAGTATTTTTGATCATATACTTCTTCCAGAAACAATAGATCTTTAAAACGGATGAGTAAATGACCTCTGTTATGATCAGCCAACCTCTTTGCTCTTTGTGAAATTAATATATTAATGTTTTTCCATGATATAGCTCCCATTAGCTGTATGCCAGACTGATTTATCGGCAGCCACTATTTGGCAGTTTTGACCTCAACTTGTCTTCCTCACAATTATAAAGCAGAGTACAGAGCTTGTGCTGGACTGTGGGTAATTGAATAGCTTCTTAGAAACAGCCAGCGTTTATGAACCGTGTGGTTCAATTCACCTCAGCCTCTAAATGTATTATTGTGCCATAATAACTTGATGACATGTTCTCTTTTACAAACAGACCGAGTTGCTCAAAATTGTTTCTGCCTTTTTCCACAGTATGAAATTCTGCTGTGTGTCCAAGACCATGATGATCCAGCTATCGATGTTTGTAAAAAGCTGCTGGGCAAATATCCCAATGTTGATGCCAGGTTATTTATAGGTAAGTATTTGACGATAATCGCTTTTTATGTGAAATGAAGCCAATAATAGAGAGAACTCGGGCAGTGTTGTCCCTCGTGGATTCGGTTCTCTGTGACAGTTTTGTTTAGCCGTGTGCAGGGAAATGGCAGGGTCTCTGAGGAGCCCCGTAAGAGGAACGCCAACCCAACTGTGTATGTGCAAATGTAGCTCTTGGAGTGGATATTGATTCTTGCTCGTTAGGAACAGCTGGTGACTGGAGCAGGTGTCTCTCTGGGGTCCTGTTATCCGCCCCGCTGCCTTCAGCCAGTCTGTTACCGCACAAACAGTCAGGGGAGACGGGTTGGCCCAGAGATGTCATCCGCTGCTTCGAATCAAGCTGAAGCCATGTTAGAAAACATGTATCGTCTGCGAGGTTGTGTAGCTTTAAACAACTCTGAGTGGTTTACCCCACCAGCCAATCTGACGTCGGTAAAGCGTGCTTTGTGAAATGCATTAGTGCACTCAGAGGCCCTGTCGCCATATGATCTTTAGGTGTTCAGTCCACAAATAAACATCTTCATGTGACCTTATTTACATCCATCCGTAAAGGGGATTTAAAGAGGGTCTGCTTTATTGATGGATGATAAACCGGTTACGATTTATATAATCGCTTGATCATGTTTATTTAATCTAATCTTGCATTGTTATTATTAATTATTATTATTAAATATGACATCTATGTATGTGCATTTTAATTTCAAGTCAAATTCTTTAATCAACTATACTGCATTAATCTAATATGTAGTCTTGCATTTTTATTTTGTATTATTATTATCTTTAAATATGACTTCTGTCAATGTGAATTTTAATTTCCAGAAATTCCAGTCATAGTTTTTATTGTAATTTGAAGTGGAATGGTATGAACATAATTCACTCTAGGTTCACGTTTGCATATTTCATTTTTGGCTGATACGGTTTTATAATGTTATTTGGTTAACTAAAACTGTTAAAATAGTTTTTGTTAATTGAAATAAATAGAAATATTAGATTAAAAAGTGAAAACTATAAATGGTGCCTTGGCAATTAATTTAAATAAAATATGTTGAAGTACTAAAAGTCATTAAAAAATAAATGAAAGCTAAATTGAAATATTAAAATAATAACTAAAACTAATTAAAATAGCAAAATCACATAGCAAAATTAAAAATTAAACTGAAAATATAAAATAAATTTCTCGATGAGAATTTAATCTCTAAATGAGAACATGGCAGGACTGATCTAGACCTGGGATGGGGATTGTGTTAAAAATGCATAGAAATAATCATGTTTTTATTATTATTATGTAATATTCATGTGGACTGGGTATCGGTCAGTGTACATGGAATGTAGTCCCTGTTGTAACAAAAGTGAACCAAAAGAGAAATATTTTTATATTTCAGATGCTTTCTAATATATTTTAATTTCTGGAATATTATTATTCATGTCATTCTACTCTAAAAACATCTGTAACTGACAGCAAAAAAGACAAATAAATTGATAACCACACTTTCTTTTAAAATGGCCAAATTTTGTGATGGTATGGTATGATGGTACAATCATTTATAGCCCTAATGGTAATTGATATTGTAATTTATTTTCTCTTTATCTCGTTCTAGGGGGTAAGAAAGTTGGCATCAATCCAAAAATAAATAACCTCATGCCAGCTTATGAAGGGGCAAGGTACGAACTCGTCTGGATCTGTGACAGTGGCATTCGAGGTAAGCTTACCCACATTATAATCTAAAACCGAGCACTTTAAAGGGGTCATATGATGCAATTTCAAGTTTTCCTTTCTCTTTGGAGTGTTACAAGCTGTTCGTGAATAGATAAGATCCCTAAAGTTGCAAAGACTAAAGTCTCAAACCCAAAGAGATATTCTTTATAAAAGTTAAGACTTGTCCACACCCTCCTAAAACGCCTCGTTTAAACACGCCCCCACATGTCTACATCACTATGTGGGAAGATTTGCATAACGCCGCCCAAATGTTCACGCAAAGAAGGCGTAACTTTGATTCTCGCTGTAGTATTGTTGCCGCCGCTGCCATGTCGTGGAGACGCTGTGTGTTTCGTTGTGAAAGTGAAACTACTTTGTTTGGCCTTCCAAAAGAGGACACGACTAGAAATCAGTGGTTGAGTCTGGCGCTTCAAAATAATGTTCTTTTTAGCAACGTCATATGACCCCTTTAAACAAAAGATTATTCAGATGAGCAAATCTTCAGAGTGTTTCAGTGAATACAATTCTTTATTCTTACTGTTTCTTGTGAAAAGAATAATGGAAAATGACCAGGACATGTTTTCATGAGATTGACCTTTGAACAACTGTGTCTGTGCTAATCATGATGTAATATTCAACAGTGAAGCCCGACACTCTCACTGATATGGCTAATCAGATGACGGAGAAGGTGGGACTGGTTCACGGTCTTCCTTACGTGGCGGACAGACAAGGATTTGCCGCCACATTGGAGCAGGTCAGCAGCCTTCACTATTGACCTTCTAAATTCTTGGTCGGGACAGTGTTGAAGATGTTTGTCGTCTGGATTTGGCTCTGGAAAGCTTTGGTTTTATTAGATGCTTATGAACTCGTCATTGCTTATAGGACCTGTGTATTATGTGTTCGAAGGCCGTTCTGTCCTGTCACACTGCAATTAAACTGCCAAGTTGTGGCTCTGTTGCTAGTAGAGGCTCCAAACTTGAAATGGGACACCATATGTTGTAGTTCCTCTGTTTCTCTAAACCTTAAAGCTCTTTTGCCAAATTAGTGCAATATTAAAATTCAATAACTGCTGACAATATTGATTTATTTATGAATTTTCTTTTAGCTCCACATAAAATCTAATCACCAATCATCTCTCAATTGATTAAATATTATATTATTGTAGTAGATGAGACATTAAATTTAATAGACGTTACAAAAACAGACTTTGAAGGCAATATATTAGCATGTTAAATTGACAGCTCTGCTAATAAATAACTGGCAGAAGTGTTTACATATGTAATACAAATCTTGATGCGTCAAATCTTTAGAGATGAATTATGTGAAGTATAAACACTGTCCCACATGAAATCCTGCAGGTTTATTTTGGAACGTCACATCCTCGTTCCTACATCTCGGCCAATGTAACGGGAATCAAGTGCGTCACGGGGATGTCGTGTCTCATGAGGAAGGACATCCTGGACCAAGCGGGCGGGCTGATTGCGTTTGCTCAGTACATCGCTGAAGATTACTTCATGGCCAAGGCCATCGCAGACAGGTTTGCCAGACTCATTAAATATCTGTGCAGTGCTAATAGCTTTTGATATCACACTCCATCGGGTTACATTTTTTCATCGTCTTTAAAGGAATAAATAAATTACAATTCTGTTATTCACTCACCCTCATGTAGTTCCAAAACTCTGCCTTTATTTCTTCTGTGAAACACAAAAGGAGATGTTTAGTAGAATGTTCACGCTGCTCTTTTTAAAAAAATGTGTCTATATAGTTTTATAATTTTTTTTTAATTAGATTTAGTTTATTTTGTTTGCTATTGTAGTACCTCAGATAAATTAAACAACATTTTAAAAATTTCTAACTGAAATTTTATTTTTATTTTTAAAAATGCGTTTTTTTTTTTTCAAATGTAGTTTAGTTTATTTCAGTTAACATTTATTTTTTAAATATAACATATTTTATGGTTTTGGTTTTAGCTTAATTATAACACTGCTAACGATGAGAAAAAAAAATCATAAATGTATCATAAAAGTAGTGCTGTGCTCTATATTCCAGGTTTCCATGCGATAGCTTTGTGTGACTAATGCCAAAAAAATTTAATTTCAGTTAATAATTTAAAAATCGAATTCACTTCCATGTATATTCAGTTATAAGACACTTAGGTTTTTAATTAATTAAAACACTTGAGTTTATAATGAATTAAAATTCAAGCAATGACTTTTAATGAATTTCAGTTTTGATCTTTTCCTTATCAAATCATTTGAAGTCGTTCAGTAGCATTTAGTATGTAGTGCATTTATTTCTATGCACCAATTTAATATGTCTATTATTTAGAGCTTGACAGTCTGGCTTCCCTGTGCTTTTATTGTATGGAATAGATCATCTCAAAGTCATGTGGGTGTGTAGCAACATGAGGGTGAATAAATCATAACCAAATGTTTCATTTTGAATGAAATATTCCTTTAATGTGTGTTCAGAATTGTATCTCTCAGCCTCGGCTAAAATGTCCTTTATTTGCCAGTTCAATGACGTGGTGTTTCTCTTGCAGAGGATGGAAATTTTCCATGGCAACGCAGGTAGCCATGCAGAATTCTGGCTCGTACTCCATTGCACAATTCCAGTCTCGCATGATCAGGTACGGCGGTTGTTCGAACAGCTTTTTATGTTCAGTACTGTTTTTCGGATGGGGCCACCTCCAGCGCATTGATGATAGCGTTGCAGATGGATCTTTTAAATTGCATCATAGTACAGAGCATATCTTGAATAGATTTTGTCCATCTTTTGATACGTTCATCAGAATAAGCTATCCAGCTGTAAGACATGATGTTGTTTTGTGGCTTTAGATGGGTACATTTCCCATTTTTGTGGTGCGAAAAAACAGCTGAGCTCATCTCATTGTAATCTGCTCTTAATAGATGGGCCAAACTGAGAATCAACATGCTGCCAGCCACCATCATCGAGCCCATCTCCGAGTGCTTTGTGGCCAGTCTTCTCATCGGCTGGGCCGCCCACCACGTGTTCCGCTGGGACATCATGGTGTTTTTCCTGTGCCATTGCCTGGCCTGGTTCATTTCGGATTACATCCAGCTGAGAGGAGTACAGGTGAGACGCAATACACTGCAAATTTGCATTTCAGCTCCATTCTGGTTCAAAACAACCATTTTTGACCATTCCAATCAATTCCCAAAGGATAAAATCAAGCCTCGCCCCATTGTTTCAGAGTTTAAATCCAATCCTAACCTCATTCTACTCAGAAATGTCACATTTCTGAAGAAACATTTCTTGTTTGACATCCAAATCAACTCTCTGAGGAAATTCTATAAACAGATGGTTTTCATTTTCAACTCTTTCAAGCAAAATTTGACCGAGGTTGTTCCATCATAAGTTGTTCTTCAAAGCCATTTTATCTTGAATTGCAACATTTGTCGGTTCTTGTTGTAATTCTTGTCTTTCTACTCCTTTTCCCTCAAAGGGCGGTCCTCCATCCTTCTCCAAGCTGGACTACGCAGTGGCCTGGTTCATCAGGGAGTCCATGACAATTCAGATTTTCTTGTCCGCTCTTTGGGACCCCACCATCAGCTGGAGGGCGGGACGCTACCGATTGCGTTGCGGAGGTACAGCAGAGGAAATCTTGGACGTTTAAACGGCACCGTGTGCCTAGGACTTTGCACTGATGTGTACATGGACACAGAACTATGAGAAGAAGTGGGCGCAGATGGGGGGAGGGGTTATTCCAACTTCTGCTAGTTTTTAACCTGTTACTTTAGCAAATAGACTATTTATGTCCTTGGTGCTTTTTTTGTTTTCCTGTGCGGTCTCTTAACAATTTGAGACCTCGTTCTAGATGAGCCAAAAGTTATGAAGGGGTGAAGAAGAAGAGGAGGCGGCACTTCAGCGGGCATCAGTAACCCTGATAAAAACGTATCTAAATGTAACTTTTTTTTTATTTAAAAAAAAGTTGTGCAAACATGTTTAGTGGTGGTTTAACAGCTGTCTCGTGACATATCCATTTTATGATGAGTTTGGATGAATGGTACTGTTTTTAACGGTAATAGTGAGGTGGAGAATGACTGAAGTCTTTTAAAATGGCACTAGCGCATGAATGGATCACTTGCTTATCACAGTGTTGCTCTCAACATACAGCACTCTTGCCATATTTGATACATTTTTGGACTTCTGAATGCTCAAAACGGATCCACTCAGGTCCATTTTATGTTTACTGGACAGAGCAATATCTTCTGTAGAGGTTATACATAGGGAATTGTGGCATACTGACGATCGATCCTGCATTCTCCCTGCAGTATTCGAGCACGAGGTTTACTCCTCAACATGACATCTGCAGATTTAATCGCATATCTTCTGAAATGTAGTGCCATTTGAAGAGTAAGCGGTTTTATTGTTATAATTTTGGCATCTTTAATGCCAACACCATGGCTTTTCTTCAAGGTCTTTTGTCTTCCCGTGCTTCATTCTCTGCAGTAGTTGCTCTCGTACCAGGATCAGAGTTTGCTAAAACACATTTCCTGCCCTGCTGTTGTTTGTTTGAGAAGCTGTCAGTATTTTCCTGACGTTTGACTGGATATAAATGCATAAACTGTCCGATCATTTCATCCGATGCCATTTCAGTTAGTCGATTAAACCAAATTCTGTTGACGTAAAGAGTTTGAGAAGTTAAAGTTTACTCGTTTTTTTTTTTGAGTTGAAACAATTTGGCATGAGTGGCATGAAAACTGGCAAACATCTACATTTACACTCTGTTACATTTCAAAATATGACAGTCGCACAGTGTGCTATTTGGCTATACTCATTCCCCAACAACATATATACTCTTACAGTCAAACAGTATTCACGAAACAATTGACATTCTTCTCCGTGTTCTCCTTTTTTTCCACGGTTTTATCTTGAGGAAGTGCTAATCTCTGTTTCGTACTGCCAGCACTTTGTTGTTAAACTGCTCTTTCTGTATTTCCATCATTTCTTGACTCTTTCTTTACCGCCATGCATTCATAAATCATGATCGTGAAGGACCCATGCCAGCACTGGCAGTATTGTTTCACAGATGCTACTCTACTCATGAACTGTTCAAGCCTTGTTGTTAATTGAAAACCATTATATGTGATTCAGGAAAAACACGTTGGCTTGAGCCATGTGCACGTGTCTTCATATTCCATCAGCTGCCATTTAGAAAGTTATAAACACTGTTTTAGTCCAATGCCAAACGCTGCATTGTGTTTTTGTTCTGGTGTTGGTTTGTTATTTCTAATTTGAATACATCTGATTTTGTTCTACTACTGAAGACTTTGGGCTGACTATTAGAAATAAACGTATGTTTTGTGCATGAGGCCACGAAATGAATGCCATTTGTTCGTATCATGGCAGTTGAAGTATTAAAAGTTGGGGATCAATCAATTAGCAATAATCATATACATTATTATTAGTTTTACTGTATTCAGACTGTGAGACGAAAGCAAGCTTCCAAACCCATTTTCTTGTCCAGTTGTGGTATAATAAACATTTCAGATTTTGTTGACCATTAGACATTAATCATACCTCAGAACAGCAGTGGGCCTCATCCATGAAACACGAACAGAGTTTTTGCGAGATCATTCGAATGTAAACTACATGGAATTAAATCCATTTAATAATTGGTAAAGCGATTCTTCTGTAAATTGGAATTGGTTTTACAAATTATTCAATGGAAGTGGACCATTTAGATACGAACAGTTTTATGAATTATTCAGTTTGGTGTGCCAGTTTATGCAAACAAGGTTTTGCGAATTATTCCACTGATTCTTTCGTAAATAGCTGCATTGAAATGAATAATTTCACAAAACCATTTTTCAATCAAATTGTTGCGTCGAATTGCGTAATTTCATGAATTCTTGCATAATAGTAGCATTTGATTGAATAATTAGTTCAAACCATTCTTGCATAAATGATTGCATTGAATTCTGCGCTATTATAATAAAATAATAGTTTCAGGAAAAGTTATTACTTAACAACAGACGTTTTATGAATGATTAACAAATTCATTCTGCTTTTGAATAAGGCCCGATGTGTTGTAGTTCTGCACCATTGGTAAAACTGAATGTACCTTCGCATGAACATGTGACTAACTTTTCTTTCATCGTCTTATCGGTAACACCTGAAACACCACAGTAGAAACTTTAACATTTTTTTTTAGGGAAGGGGAAAGCTGTTCTTCAGTTCCTCTCTTTGACTTTCAACCATATCGGCTTATGTTATATATGTGAAATATTATACATTATTCAGTTTGGTGTGCCAGTTATGCAAACAAGGTTTTGCGAATTATTCCACTGATTCTTTCGTAAATAGCTGCATTGAAATGAATAATTTCACAAAACCATTTTTCAATCAAATTGTTGCGTCGAATTGCGTAATTTCATGAATTCTTGCATAATAGTAGCATTTGATTGAATAATTAGTTCAAACCATTCTTGCATAAATGATTGCATTGAATTCTGCGCTATTATAATAAAATAATAGTTTCAGGAAAAGTTATTACTTAACAACAGACGTTTTATGAATGATTAACAAATTCATTCTGCTTTTGAATAAGGCCCGATGTGTTGTAGTTCTGCACCATTGGTAAAACTGAATGTACCTTCGCATGAACATGTGACTAACTTTTCTTTCATCGTCTTATCGGTAACACCTGAAACACCACAGTAGAAACTTTAACATTTTTTTTTAGGGAAGGGGAAAGCTGTTCTTCAGTTCCTCTCTTTGACTTTCAACCATATCGGCTTATGTTATATATGTGAAATATTATACATGTGTCAAAAAGAAACTTCACCTCAATTATGAAAAGTCTACGATGCACTGTAAATTTCCCGTTTAGACTTTTCCCCTCTTCGTGTGGCTGTGAGAGAATGCTGCTGAGCGCGTGTTTGCAGAAATATTGCCTTTTTGATAAGCCAATTCTGAAAGGATTGTATTATCGTAAAGTTCTCTGTGGGGAACTGGACTTTTTTTTTTCTTTTTTCATTGATGTACAGTTGTATGTTTGTCAGATTAACATGTTTTGTGAAAGACTGGTGACCCGTATGGTGGCGTGTGGACGTGAGAAAATGTGGCTGTCCTGCACTTGCCGACAGCCGTTTGCTCAAAACCAGTAACACAAAACAATTGAGAAATTCAGTCTGCGTCAACCGTATTGGGACGCATTTACAGGATCGGAAACAATATGGTAGTGAGCTGCCTAGACGGTCTCAAAATGTCTTGAGACAAAGTTTAAGTGTCATATCCTGTGCTATGATTTAACATTACTACATTTCACTCACTTAAACGATCTTTAAGTCTACAGCATTGGACTCAAAGCGACCCGAGAGAAACTACTGCTACATGTTTACCATACGGTCATCAGTCAGAGTAGAAAAAAAGTCTAGTTGTGATCCACCGCTTTTATTTTATGTGCTGACAAAAAGTTGAAGCTTTTACTTTTTTTTTTAAATATGTACAGTTTATTTATGAAGTTTGGTTGATATCCATTACTTACACTGCTCCCTAAGGCTTAATTTATCAAGTTGTAGATTTTAGTTATTCCTTTTCTGCAGTGTAAAGGTATGGCTGGACAGACTTCAGTTTTTGAACTTTTGTGTTATTTTGTAGATGTTGTGTACTGTACTCTTGATGCTGAATGCGTAATCCACAGCTGGAAACTGTCATTACAGATATATTAAAGGTTTATCAAGCAATATAAGAAGTGTGTTTCCTCAGCTCGAATCTGTTGTGTGTGATCCTCATGCTTGCATTTAGAGTAGTTTTAGTAGTTCGTGGCTAGCTGCATTAGTAATACAATAGTTCCTTTCAAAGCAATGGAAGTCAGTTCCCTGCCCCTCTTTCTGACTTCCTGTGTTTGAGTTTCTGTCATCATGCATGCACCACATCACATGTCTGAAACTGTCAAATGCACACTCATCCACAGGATCTAGGCATGACTTTGTTACTTGGTATATCATTTGAAGTTAGAAGAAAACTCATTTTATGGACCCTGATAAACAATAATGTGCTCGCTAAAACCCCTTACCTTAAAAACGAGGCATTTAAGCTTCACTGCACTGTCAGAGCTTACAAATTGTAGTCCATTACTGATTACATGATGATAACTGTATTTAGTAACGTGAACTAGGTTGTTCATTTTAGGTAATGTATTCAGACTACTTTTTAGATTACTTTTTATTTAACTTGTTTTAAACGGCATTAAATGTACCATATTGATATAAAAAAGCAAAGAGAAATAAATATATTCTATTTTTTTTTTTATATCAACATCATAAAATGCATTAAACATTACATTAAACCATGGTTTCCCAAACTCGGCTTTATGTAGTGGGTTTAAGAGTTGATAAAAATCTAATAATTAATTCCACTTGAACTCTAATATTTAATTTCATATTTATATTATGATGACATAGTGTTTAGTAACTTGTATAAATATTTTTTTCAGACATGGTCTAATGGCTTGAGAGGTGCTTTTCCCACCCAAATTCAGAAGCGTGGTTTGCAAATTTATTTACATGACCAGTATTCTATATTGTGAATATAATCAATGCTAAATGGTATAACACACAGTAGGATTTCTAAACAAAAAAAAAAATTTACAAGGGAAAAATGAAGAATCAGGCAGAATCGATCAATTATGAATTATTTACTGCCATTGTGTGAATAATATGAATATTTGAAGAATAATTGACAACGGGCCATTGAATTATTAAAAAATAATGCACAACCGAGGCCACGACGCGAAACAGAGTTCATCTGTTTCAAGAACAACGCCGTATGACCTTGCTTGTGAGAAATGACATGTAGCTTTGACATTATTGAGCTAAAAAATCGGACAATAAAATGTAACTTTGTGGCAAAACATGGTAATTTGGCGTTTTTGTCCTATTGTTTACTATATTTATTCACTTGGTCAGTGTCGTTGTGGATTTTGGTTCTTTTGCTGTTTTAGGCTGTAAGGACCTTTGAAATAACTGAAATCATTTGGCGAAGTGATATGGACGTAATGCGGTCCAGAGCTGCCTGGAACTACTTTAGCCGTGCCTTTCCCTGAAAATAATTGCACACCTTAACATTCGTCAGCCAATCAGATTCAAGCATTCAACGGCCCCGCAGTATAAGTAACTTTAATTTTTTTCAGAACAGTGCATTGGTGTGTTTTCATAAATAAAAAAAATGCTTGGTATTTGGCAGGTATTTTCTATTGCATCATTTCCTGTTGCCCCGATCACTTGATCTGATGTCATTGCTTTTGATCAATTTGCTGTCAGCCCAGTAGTTTCGGTGCATATCTGTGCAAATAATGGCATTACAGCAGTGCAAATAAAGGCACAGGGATGTGAGTGTGCTGGCGGTCAGTGCTCAGTGTTTGCTGGGCTGTGATTCACTACTAACACAAGCGCTACCAACCATCTGCTCTCTCCAACCAGTCCTCTGTCAGCGTTTCACTGACCCGAAACTACAAGCAATCCCTGCGATTCTAAGTATTCCTGCATCCTGAGGCCGGACTGTTGTGTCTCTTTGTATTATCTGCTGTATTATCGTCTCTGTGTTCTTGCCCGCAGGACGCCTGTCAGTGCTTATCTCACATCAGCCCATTGTTAGGAGAACAGGGCATGGATGGAAATGAAAATGCCATCTTGCTGACAACTCACTGTTATTTCCTATAGGCATCACTAACATATAAGAGTCGTTTAAAAGTTGACTGTACAGAGTTATCTGTTTAAATATTAATATTGATGCATTATTTATTGCATTCTACTATGGCTGTAAAGAGTAAAGATACAATTGAAGGTCTATAGAGAGTTGATCAATATTTATTATAATTTATTATAATATTTATTATTATATTAGTGTAAAACATTTTTTTCATTAGGCATTTTGAAAAACATAAGTTTTCAAATGGATGTTTATTTCCACATGCAATACAGTCTAATAAAACACTGGGTGGTCTGAGCTAAAGAATGAGTTGTTTATCATCTATTTTTAGCAAACTTACAGAACTGGAAGTTTCACAGTAAATGCTGAACTAATAAGCAATGTATTCAACTCATGCAACGAGTTATTTTTGAATGGGATATCTTATGACAGACAGTCTCCTAAATTATTTAGTGAGTGTACAAATTAAATCATCATTAAAAGAAAAAAACAAGACCACCTGACATCCGCCAAAAGCTTCTATTTACATAGCATTTGGTTAGACTGCTACAAACAACCTTTTTATTACTAGGGTTTTGTGGGTGGTTACCAGGGTGTTGCTATACAGCCCCTAAAGCACTGTGAATGGTTGTCACCACACTATTAGGGTGTTGTGGGTGGTTGCCAGGGTGATACTAAGCAGTTGCTAAGGCACTGTCAAAGGTTGTTACATCATTATTAGGGCATTGTGGGTGGTTACAATGGTGTTGCTATGCAGTTTCCAAGGCATCGGCATGGTTGTTTGGTAAAGTGTTGTTGGTGGTTGCCAGGTTGTTCCTATCCAGTTGCTACTAGGGTGTTGCTATGCAGTTCCTAAGGTGGTCTGAATGGCTGTTACTACATTGGTTGAGTGATGTGACAATGACAATTTATTTATATAGCACAATTAAAAACAACCCATGTTGACCAATGTGCTTTACAACAACTAAAATCACACACAACTAAATAAAAACAATAAGACAAAAACAATTAAAATTGTAGTAGAGTGCCATAAAAGAAAGTGCTTCAGCATAATAAAAACAGCACTGTACAATGGAAAATGCTTCAAGTATTAAATGCTTTATCAAACAGAAAAGTTTTTAACTTCGATTTAAAAACAGACAAAGATGAAGCCAGTCTAATCGAAATGGGCAAATCATTCCAAAGTCTGGGGGCAACTACAGAAAATGCGCGGTCACCCCTACACCACTGTGGGTGGTTACAAGGGTGTTGCTATGCAGTTTCCAAGGCATTCTCAATGGTTGTTACCACCATGGTTGGGTGTTTTTGGTGGTTGCCAGATTGTTCCTTTGCAGTTGCGATGATGTTTTAAAAAGTTGTTACACCGTCACGTGAGTGTTGCAATGCAGTTCCTAGTGCATTCTGAATGGTTGTTAACACTTTGGTAGGGTGTTTTTGAAGGTTGCCAGGTTGTTCCAATCCAGTTGCTAATTTGTTTTAAAAGGTTGTTACTAGGGTGTTGCTATGCCGTTCCTAATGCATTCTGAATGGCTGTTTCCTCATTGGTAGGGTGTTGTGGGTGGTTA